ATATATATAAAGAGAAATTTATCTTAGGAAAATGGCTCACACACTTATAGAAGCTCACAAGTCCCAAGTTCTTGGATCAAATGTCAAGCTGGAGGCTTTTCCCGATTCTCACAGCTGCAAGAGCTGAGGAACTCAACGTTGGCAGGCAGTGTACTGGCTGTTGACTCCAACGAATGATGAATCCAAGATCACCAGGCTGAATGGTGGATTGTTCATTCATGGACAGTTGTAGTCAGCACAATAGGATCCCAATCCACAGAAGAGTGTCTCTCTTTTCCCAGGATGCCCATAAATATATTGGAAGAAAGCCACACCCCTAGGGAAACTCCCTTTCAAGAGATTGGCTGCTCAAAACATATACATCTGATCCCATTGTTAGTATAATCCACATCACAACTGCTTAAACCACTCAGAATTGTAGTCCAGTCAAGTTGACACACAACTCCAACTATCACAATAGTTTTCTTTCTTTATTGGGGCAGGGACATTGTTTGTTTTTTAATATTCTCCTACTCACTTGGGAAGTTTATTTAATATCTTGTATTTTTAGACTATTCTTAATTTTTAATGTTCAATAAACATTACATTTCTTTAACAAAATATTAAGTGTTTCCGTATTTCTGTCTTTCTCTTCAACATGAGAAGAACTGCATTGCAATTAAAGTGCCATTTTCATCTTTATGTTTTGATTTGAGTTGTAGTTTAACTTTCTAAAAAGGTTTTTTTTTTTTTTTAAGTCAATATTTTCCAAGAATAATTAATGCTTACTTTGTTAAAGTAAAAGCAAGGAAATATTTTGAAAGTAAAGAGACAGTTAAAGCCAGGAGGAAACTTCTGCCAGCATTTCAAAATGGCAAAGCTATGGGGACGTTTTATAAGGGCAGAACAAAGAACCTGAAGTACAGTACTTTGATAGTTGAAAACTTAGATCATCACAAGGCAGAAGTGGAAGCTCCTAAGGCAGGTCTTCCTGTGGCAGGAATTCCTGTAGATTTCCTGTAGTGGGAGTTTTTAAGGCAATGGACTTCAAATCTTTCTTAGATTGGTTAGAGTGTAGTAATTGCAAGGATCCAGGACCAGAGGGGGAGTCACTGGGTAGTTAACGTTATAATTATTAGACATTCCTTTCTTAGAAAAAGCCTGCTCAAGTAGAACTTACCTGGTGGATATTAAAATGGGAGATTTGGATATGGGTCAGCACCAAGGTCTCCTCTCAAAAGACATGTTCACGTCCATAACATAATCACAGAGGAAAAGCATTTCCTTTGCTACATGATTAAGTCTGCACAGAAGGTGTCTGCTGTTAGGGTGAAACAGAACTAAAAGGGAGTCAAAACCAGATCTCAAGCCAGCTATTCAGATACTATTGGCACCTTGATTTTAAATTCCTGTTGTAGTATCTTATTAAACTTATGCATTTACCAATATATTTTATTCTTTTCTTTGTTTATAATTGTTTCTTTTATTTCATATTTTTCCTGTTGGTTCACTTTTCTTCTTCCTTTTTAATTGTTGTTTTACTTAGAAAAGAGTTATATGTGAGTACTTATAAAACAAATTTTTTTTTTAATTTGGCTTCATTCCTCAATAAAATTATTAAATGACTGTTTTAAGTTTTTTTAATTTCTAAGTACATGGTAATCGTACCTCTTTTCCTTTGATATCTATTGTTGCCATTAGAAAATCAGACATAATCTCATTATTTTTTACTTTCATACTGATTTTAAAGTTGCCTTTTTCTTTATTCTGTGATATTCTGAAATTTCATAGTGATGGTTGCAGTTGTTTTGTTTTTTCAAATTTCACTCTGCACATATTTCTCCTTAGGGAAATTTTCTGTCTCTCTCTATATATAGTTTTTGTTTTTATTTCCCCCTCAGTCTCTGAACTTTTTTCTTCTTAGGCTCCTATTAAACATATGTTGGAGTGCCTTAAACTACATTCCATATGTTGACTGCTTTTATTATTATTATTATTATTTTCTGTATCTCTTGTTCTGTTTGAGTTCTATTTTCGGTACCACCTTCCAATCAACTAATTTTATCTTTTATTTTGCTCGGTCTAAATTATATGCTATCTATTGAAATTTTAAGGCACTCTGGTGGCATACTGATTAAGGCATTTGGCTCTAAGCAGAAGGTCAGTGGTTCAAACCCACCAGCTTCTCTGTAGAAGGAAGATGGGGTGATCTATGTCCATAAAGATTTACAGCCTCAGAAACCCAGTGAGGGTCGCTATGAGTCACAGTCAACTCCGTGGCAGTGAGTTTGGTTTCTATTTTTGGTTTTACTGATATTTTAATTTAAATTTCTTAGTTTTTTTCTTTTTCTTTTTCTAATTTAAAACTATTTTTCCTTTGATTTCCTTAGTATCTTCACATACTTTTTAAAGTCTTTCTTAGACTTTTAACAAAATTAATTCCAAATTTTTCAGTTTGCAAATATGATTAAATTTTTTCTTGTTTTTTAGCATTATATTTATATATTTTATTTTGTAGTCCCCTTTTCAATGCAATTTTATTCTTTTCCTCCATTCCAGTCAATTGTTTCCTTCTCTTACTCACTGTGCTTACTTCTTGGGTAGTGATTTTATTGTAACCTTAATTAAATCCCTGAGAAATTATCTGAGTAACAGTTACAGTTTAGGGCTCATACTGCATAGGAAAGTTGGGAATTTTGTAGATCCAGTCATTGAGCCATTGTCTAAGGCAGTGATTGCTGGTATATTTTCCACATCATTTTATGAAGTGGGTCCCCCAAACCAGCTTTTGGCTTCATTGATAGAGTTTGACTCTCTTCCTCCATCCTTTCCTAGCATTCATATTAGCAAAAATCCATGCAATAGCAGCATAGTGTCTAAGGCATTTGATTGTTAATCAGAAGGCTGGCAGTTCAAACCCACTAGCCACTCCTCAGAAGGAAGGTTGGGCAATCTACTTCTGTAGTGATACCTCCTGGGAAATCCAAGGAGGGGTAGCTATGAGTCGGATCCAACTGGAGGGCAGTGCGTTGTGTTGTGTTACATTTCTGGTTTCAAAGCCGAAGGGTTTCATGGTGTCATCCCTGCTCATTACTACAATTGGGGTTTTATTACTCATCTTTTGAAATATTTTATCTTGTGTTTGAGCTACCTCTCTCTGTTTTTATATTTTATTTATTGTTCTTTTCTGTTTGGATCACAGGATTTTATGCAAAGTTTGAACTTAACAGTTCTGTTTTGATTAGAGTCTAACATTCTAGTAACGAAGAATTTAACTTAAATTCATAGTTTCAAAAGCTTCATTTCTTTGTAAGTTACTAAAAATTTCTAAATGTTTAGTAACTTACAAAGAAATGAAGCTTTTGAAAGATTTCATTTTTGAGAAATGAAGTTGTAAAATCAGAAAAATCTGTTTGTATCTCAATATTATCAATATTGTTAAGTGCAGGAACAGTACCAATTGGATTTATATGTCAGATAGGAAAAACTGAGTTGCTGATACTTTTTATATACTATAAAATCCATAGTTAGAGTTTAATAGAACTGTTGCTATATGATATTTTTATATAGTTTGGTAAGAAAGAGGGCATTTTAAATTGTAATTCCTTATAAAATATAAAAGTGTCTGTATAAGAAGTAGAAAAAATAACCAAAAGGGAAAAGAATTCTAGGAATATAGAAGATAAATTCTTGCTTAAAGAAAGGTTACATTGTTACCTTTAAAATAAAATAACTGGTGGCATAAGAATTTTTAAATCAGTATATTTTGTAATAAGAATATTGAATTTTAATACTGAAAGTATTATTTAATTTCAGAAATTAGCATATTTCAATCAGAAATTTCAAACAGATTTCAATGTTTTATTTGTAGTTGGTACATTCATTTCAAAGTTGTATATCCTTTTAAATACAATGTTTTTCAAGCCTGTTTTTGAAGAATCTAGAAATGTGATAATACTGTTCAAACAGGAAACAGCTAATTTTTTGAAAAATAATTCTTTTCATTTCTTTTCTTTTTCAGGTTATTATGTATGGATAGGAGCTAAGCAAGCTTTTACTCTTAACCATCTAGACAGCAGGGCTTATTTGAATAGCTCTATGTGTCACTGCTTAGGCAAGGGCTGCCATCTTCAATTCTTTTACTCTATGGAAAAAAGTGTTCTGAGAGTAAGACTGTATCACAGCAAGGTAAGAAACTTGCATTTATTTAAAATTCACTGAGTAAATGAGAGAGCTCTGGTAGCATGGTGCCTAAGGCACTTGACTGCTAACCACAAGGCTGGTGGTTCAAACCCATCAGCAACTCCTTGGAAGGAAGGTTGGGCAATCTACTTCTGTAGTGATACTGCCTGGGAAACCCAAGGAGGGTTCGCTATAAGTCGGATCAGAATGCTCCTTGGAAGTGAGAATGGCCAGACTTGGTCTCACCTACTTTGGTCATGTTGTCAGATGGGACTTTTCCCTGGAGAAGGATATCATGCTTAGTAAAGCAGAGGGGCAGCAAAAAAGGGGAAGACCCTCAACAAGATGGATTGACACAATGGCTGCAATGATGGGCTCAAGCATAGCAAGGATTGTGAGGATGGTGAAGAACTGGACAGTGTTTTGTTCTATTGTACACAGATTTGGAGCTGATTCGACAGCACCTAACAACAACAACAACAACAGAAGTTAATGTAATAATTTTCACAATATTATTGGTGTTGTTGTTATGTGCTGTCAAGTCAACCCCGACTCATAGCGACCCCTCCTTGGGTTTCCAAGGCAGTATCACTACGGAAGTAGGATTGCCCAACCTTCCTTCCGAGGAGTGGCTGGTGGGTTTGAACCACCAGCCTTCTGGTTAGCAGTCAAGTGCCTTAGGCACCATGCTACATACACTTATAATTCACAAAGGTATATTAAAGAAACTATAGATTTAATAAAAAATTAGAAAATTGGTATCCTGTAGTGTTACCAAAATGTAACTATTTACCTAGTTATATTTATAACTCTTCAGTAGATATGTTTTATATGGAGTTCTTTGGAAGCTCTTTCATAAGGAGCTTTGGTTATGTAGTGCATAAGACATGTGACTGCTAATAAGAAGATTGGTGGTTCAAATCCACCAGCTGCTTTGTGGAAAGAAGATGAGGCAATCAACTTCCGTAAAGATTTACTGCCTTGGAAACCCAATGGAGTCGTTATGAGTCGGAATCAGTGGGTTTGGTTTTTTGGTTTTACATCATATCCAATAAGATCTGGTGGTGTAGTGGTTAAGGCATTTGGCTACAAACAGGAAGGTTGTTGGTTCAAGCATACCAGCTTCTTGACCAAAGAAAGATGAGATAGTCTGCTTCCATAAAGATTTATAGCCTTGGAAACCCAATGCAGTTTGCTATGAGTCGGAATCACCTCCTTATTTATTTATTTTGGGAATGCTAGCTCTGTATTGAAGCTCTGGTGTGATCAATCTTAGATTTTAGATCTGTGTATCATTAAAGCTGTAAATATAATAGGAGTAAATTACTTCTCCTGGTACCAGTCCATACAATTTTATTGTTGTTGTATGCCATCGAGTTGATTGAGACTCATAGCCACCCTATTAGACACAGTAAAACGCCCCATAGGATGCCCTAGGCTATAACCTTTAAGAGAACAGATCATCAGATCTTCTCTTCCCTGGAGCCACTAGTGGATTAGAACCACCAACCTTTCAGTTAGCAGCCAAGTACTTAACCATTGTGCCAGCAGGGATTCTTAGATAACATTTTAAAGACTACAAATTGATTACATCTAAATGAATGAATTACTTGAATAATAATGATAAATAAAAATGACACATGAGGTAGAGTGAAAATTGTGGTGGTAGTACTGATACGTAAAACAAATCCAGGACCTTCGCTATCTGATTTTAATTGAAAGTCCTCCTTCACAAGTGGGAAAACACCTGACGTATTTTGAAAATTCTTATTGTGAAGAAGAATTCATTGGCAGATGAGAGTCAACAAAACGTGGAAGTGGGAAACATTTGGAAATAATTGCAGGAATTCTGACAGAGGAAGAAAGATAGTAAAAGTATTCCAATTTGTTTCCTTTGATCTGGGTGCCTTGAATCAATCTAGTTTAAATTTCCACATGATATCAGTCACATCCATTCTTTCAACACAAGTTTATTTATCATTTATTCTTATTAGGAGCCAGTAACCTCCTGTCAATAACGTTTTTGTGTGCTCTCTTTTCTTATGAAGTGTAAAGGGCCATAATAATTAATCCTCAAGCATAAACCAAACCCACTGCTATTGAGTCAATACTGACTCATAGCGACCCTCATTGGGTTTCCAAGGTGGTAAATCTTTATGGATGTGGATTGTTCCATCTTCCTTCCATGGAGTGGCTGATGGGATTGAACCACCAACCTTCTGGTTAGCAGGCAAATGCCTTAGACACTGTGTCACCAGAGCTCCTTAATTAATCCTCAGATATTAGAATTCTTATTATAAAGATACTTGAAAATTCAGCAGATATATCTTTTTTTTCTTCCCAGTCTGTCACATAACCACTTCCTTTTCTTTTTGTGGCATTTTGTCATGTCCTAAACTCTTTCTTTTATCACTTCTCCAGGATACTTACAAAGTTCTGAGTTATGAAGTTAGGCAAGCACTCTTATTAGATAGCCTAATAAATTATCCTTTGTTACTTGGGCTAGACATGATTTCTAACATTCTGTGACTGTGTTACATGTTTTGTGACCTTTCTGCAATAGCCCTTGACAGCTACAATATCTTATAATCAACTTGATATATCTCATTTGATTTCTGAAGGGCTAGGGGGCACATGGAAACAACTGCCTACTCTTTCTGTGGGCTCTAAACTTTCCAGATACATGGAAGCAAATTAAAAATTAGGCTAAACTTTAGAGAGATATCTTGTATCCTCAGTGCCTCTGTAAGCTTTCAGTTACTGTCATTTGTGCCATATAAACCAAGTGAAGTGAACCTATAGGCAATTTGCAGTTTTACATGATATCCAATTTCACTTTCACCAAAGGCATAGTTGAAAAAATTCTAAATTTTTTGGTTGTGGTTTTTGAGTTTAAATTATGGTTAAAGATAAAGCATAGGATAGTGCTTTTCACATGGCAGATAATCAATTAATGCTCATTAAATGTTAAATGAGTCACAATAATAAATTTAAATTAAAATTTTTATCATGCATGTTTTAATCCTGAGGATCATTTTAATCTTTTCTAAACACCAAAGAAAATGAGCACTATCATCCTCTGGTGGTTTTGAGGCTATACAAAGCAAGGAGAAAAGCAAGCTAGCTCCAGATACCACAACACTTAATAAAAATAGACTTACCAAGATTCCATCTCCCACATTATAAGAAAAAGAGAAAAATTTAATCATGGAGAATGATTTAGTGTATTAACTAGAACTAATTGGATGTATATCTAGACTGTGTTGCTTGATATTTATCAGTGTACTAAGTATTTTTTTAAATAATTCATTTTATTATGTATAAAATTTTAAATTTAAATTTATTATCATAACTCATTCAACATTTAATGAACATTAATTGATTATCTGCCATGTAAAAAGCAAACAGGCCAAGAAGCTGGATTATGTGAAGAAGAGTATGGCTTCAGGATTGGAGGAAGACTCATTAATGACCTGCGAAACACAGATGATACAACTTTGCTTGCTGAAAGTGAGGATGCACTTAATGATGAAGATTAAAGACTATGAATCTCCGAGCACTTACTGATGAAGATTAAAGACTATGGTCTGCAGTACGGATTCCACCTTAATATAAAGAAAACAAAAATCTTCACAACTGGTTCAATAAACAGCTTCCTGGTGGATGGAGAAAAGATTGAAGTTGTCCAGGATTTCATATTACTTGGTTCTACAATCAACACCAATGGAAGCAGGAGTCAAGACATCAGACGATGTATTGCATTGGGCAAATCTGCTGCAAGAGACCTCTTTCAAGTTACAAAGAGCAAAGATATCTGCTTGAAGCTAAGGTGTGCCTTACCCAAGCCATGGTATTTTCAATCACCTCTTATGCATGTGAGAGCTGGACAATGGATAAGGAAGACAAAGAAGAGTTGATGCTTTTGAGTTGCAATGTTAGAGAAGAATGCTAAGAGTGCCATAGACTGCTAAAAGGACTAACAAATCTGTCCTGGAAGAAGTGCAGCTGGAATGCTCCTTGGAAGTGAGAATGGACAGCCTTCATCTCACCTACTTTGGTCATTTTGTCAGAAGGGACCATTCCCTGGAGAAGGATATCATGCTTGGTAAAGTAGAGAGTCAACAAAAAGGGGGAAGGCCCTCAACAAGATGGATAGAAACAGTAGCTGCAACAACGGGCTCAGGTATAGCAAGGATCATGAGGCTGGCACAGGACCAGGCAGTGCTTTGTTCTGTTGTGCATAGGGTCGCTATGAGTTAGAGATGACTTGACGGCACCTAACAACAACAACATTTTTATTATTGTTGTTGAGAATATACATAACACAACATGCATCAATTCAATAATTTCTACATGTACACTTCAGTGACATTGATTACATTCTTTGAGTTGTACAATCATTCTCACCCTCCTTTTCTGAGTTACTTCTTCTTCGTTAGCATAAACTCACTGCCCTCTAAGTTTTTTGTCGATCTTTCACATTGCAGTTGTCATTTCCATGTAGATAGATCTGACAAGAGCACAATGGTCAAGGCAGGCATTTGTACTAGTTGTTATGTGCCGTCGAGTCAGCCCTGACTCATAGTGACCCCTCCTTGGGTTTCTGAGGCAGTATCACTATGGAAGTAGGATTGCCCAACCTTCCTTCCGAGGAGTGGCTGGTGGGTTTGAACCGCCAGCCTTCTGGTTAGCAGTCAAGTGCCTTAGCCACTATGCTACCAGAGCTCCCTTGTACTAGTTAGGGTAAACTATCTGGTTTTAAGCAGCCTTCAGAGATATTTTTTGGTTTAAGGTTTAAAGATTATATTAGGGCAGACATATCAGGGGTTTAATGTAGCCTCAGTTGCTTCAGAAAATCTGGATTCTTGGAGAATTTTAAATCCTGCTCTACATTTCCCCCCCTCCTCTTTTGATCAGGATTCTTCTGTAGAATCTTTGACCAAATGTTCAGTAATGGCCACCAGGCACCATCCAATTCTTCTGGTCTCATGAAAAAGGGGTAATTATTCATGGAGACAATTAGCCACACATGCCATTTCCTCCTTTTACTATTGACTCTCCTTCTAGTACTCCAGGCAAATAGAGACCAATTTTTATGCCTTGGATACCTAGTATTTTACAAGATACCTTTCTTTTCTGGCACTGTATTTGCTGTGCTCTATATGCTTAAAATGTTAGTCACTGATATTAAATCTGCACAAAGATATATTTAAGTCACAAGTTGATGTTTTATCACAAACCTAAAAAGAACTTCAAACCTATCACTTAAAAACTAACTCTTGATGAAAATGATTATTTGCATGTACCACGAATAGAATGCTGTTTTTTTTTTTAATTTTATTTTACAATAACCATCTGTAAATCCATATAAATATCTGCATGTACATTAAAAAATACCTGGAGATAATGTTATTTATTTTCTTTATTTCCAAAGGAGAGTAGAACTTGAGAAGTAAAAAAAAAAAAAAAAAAAAAAACAGAAAGCAAGTTTTTGAATAAAAAGTTTACTTTAGAATCAGTTTAAATTTGGGGTTTGTCCAGTCCAACTATTTTTACACGTGATTTCTGCCCATTATCTCTTAAATGATCATCATAGTAACAACCTATCTTTTATCCTGTGGAGATTTTTCATCAATGAGGCATGGGCAGTGGAGCGCCTAGCTTGTGATGTGTTTTACAGTAAGTCCCTGGGTTATGAATGTCTGACTTAAGGACAACTCCTGTTTGCCCTGTAGTGTTATGTAAATTTGTGCTTACTTTCAAAGGATTGAACCAAGCCCTACTCAGAACAAATTTTTCATCACAATCATCTTCCCTTTTAGTTTTTAAATCATTAAAAAGCTCTGAGCCTTTTTTTGGTACTTAAGTAATGCTAAGTAACAACTGTATGAACTCACCTACAAATTCTACTTAAAGACACATTTAGCAGTGGATTTTGTTGGTAACTCAGGGACTGCCTGTACATGTTTTCTAAATTCCCATTAGCAGGTAGAAAGGATAAATACTTGAGACAAGAAAGAAAAGTATGTTCCCTTATATAATTTAAAGCCATAATAAAATCCCTCTGAAGAATGATCTTTACCAAAATACATGGTCCTGTCCTGGGATGCAATAAAAGTAATTTAAAAAAAAAAAATAGAAAAGGGAAAAATAAAAGGGGGGACCTTCAAAATACAAAAACTTTGTATTTGGTTGTATTTAGTGTAGTTATTTCTTCACTGGAAAAGGAAAAGATACGCTGAGTTTACCAAGAGATCTGGTGATAGATATTTGTCTTGAAAAATCAAATAGCATTAATAGCCCTGGTGTGTGGGAGCAAATGTTGTTTTTTCTTTTCTTTTCTTTTTAAGAGATTGACTAATGATCATAGAAAATTAGAATATCACTTGAAAGTCCAGGTTTTATTTTTTTCTCCCGTTGTATTACCTTGTTGCAGGTAACAAGATAAAAGAGGCTGAGAGTAAAGAGAGAAATAAAATTAAAACTGAATTCATTTAGTTGGGATAAATTATTTTTTCTTTTCATGCCTTGTGTTGTCAGACAGGAAATGTGGTAGAAAATGTGGATCTCATTTGGTATACCTTTAACTTAGTGTATGAAAAGACATTTAAGTTTGGAAAGTCCTCTCCCCACTTGCCAAAAAAATTTAATGTACTCTGCTTTGGGCAGAACAGAAGGTGATCCATTAGTCAGTGTGATAAAAGAGCACAATTGCTCTAAATTATGCTCATATACTGAAAATGGGGGAAATGAAGAATGCCACTTTCCAAATAGTGTTACTAAAAGCATCTGTGGTAGGTATAAGTGTCTTGATGCTAAGTAACTGAAGTTAAGTAGGAAGTAATTGGAAAAAATATTAGTTCCATGTCTCAACTTCTTATAACTCCAATTCATCCTGATTTGACGTGGAAGCTGTCAGCTGAAAATATGTCCTCCTCATTTGCTCCACTCTCTTGTGAAAGTCTTAACAGTAGATATGAATAAGTAATGAAATGGAGTGAATTTTAATGAGTTTAGACTATCTTTTAAAATATTTAGGACTTGGAAATTTGGAAGGTGAGAAACTAAGATGAAAATAAATTCAGTTTTAGGAAATCTTGGGTATGAATGAAATAAATAAAGCTGAGTAAGAGGATAAATCCTCATGAGAGTCTGAGAAAAAAATGTGTCACATGTAATTTGAATTACAACTCGGTATTATATCTTAATGCTTCCGATCTCACAATAGAAGGAAGGCACAGAGACATTTTCAGAGCTCAACTTGAAATATATTCATGTCCCTCTGCACATTTATACTCTGTTGTTACATAAAAAGTCAATACTATTTCATTCAATTCTATAAGTAAATATTATGAGCAATTTGGTCTATCATTTACCAGAGAAAAGTCAAATTAATTGAAAGATGAGATGTAAAGAAAAAAATAGGATTATTACAGAACATAAAAGCATGATCATAAATCATAAATACTAATACCATAAGGCAAAATTTTGGAGTGTGTTATAGACTTTTATTGTGTTTCTTACCTCATAGTGTGCAGTAGCAAAAGTGTGCATACATTTTTCATCTTGAAAAATGATCATTATACAGATTCATGACATAACATTATCTGGAAGACATAACAAGGCCTTTGATAGAATGACTGGAAGAGTCAAAATATAGAAATATAATCTCCAGAATATTAAATGTATTGCTTGGAACTTGGAATGAATTCTCCCATAGGAAAAAAAATATATAAATTGAGATGGTGTAGAAAAATGCATCATTTTTAGCTTTATATTAAATGTTTGCTGATTCCATCTTTTCTAGTATCATGACAGTATTGCATAATCTGGTAATGTCAATGGAATCAGCATTTAGATTATTGGTGCTATGAATTGGTACTTGGAATTTTATTTATGAAGTGTGCTACTTTATATCTTTGAATATTCCATTCAAATTTTTTTCTGTTCTCATATTCTCCATTCATAAAAATTTAAGCAGCTTAACTACATAAACATGCTTGATTTCCTTTTAAAAATGTCACACAGCTATATAATCCATCCCAACAATATTTTAGATTTTCTAGAACTTAATATACAAGGAGGAGCTCTGGTGGGATAGTGCCTAAGGCATTTGACTGCTAAAGAGAAGGCTGGTGGTTCAAACTCACCAGCTACTCCTGGGAAGGAAGACTGGGCAATCTACTTCCGTAATAATACCACCTCAGAAACCAAAGGAGGGGTTGGTATGAGTTGGATCTGACTCTATGGAAGTGAGTTTTTTCTTTTTTCTTTTTTTTTTTTTTTAAATATACAAGGAGTGGTGGTGGCAGTGTTGATGTGCTGGGGTGCTAACTGAAAAGTTGGTGGTTCAAACCCACCATGCACTCAATGGGAGAAAAGAAAGGTGTGACAGTGTTCTTCAGCAAAGGTTATGCAACCTTTAAATAAAAAATCAAAAAAATATTTACAGCATTGGAAATATGAGAGAGTTCTACTTGGTCCCATAGAATCACTATGAGTTGGAATCAATTCAGTGGCAATGAGCTTTGTGTTTTGGTTTAATATTATACAGGTAGGATACAAAAAAACCCAAACCCACTCTTAGTGACCTTGGTAGGGTTTCCAAGGCTGTAAATCTTTATGGAAGTAGATTGCCTCATCTTCCTCCCAAGGAGCAGCTGGTGGTTTTGAACTGACAACCTTCTGGTTAGCAGCCAAATGCTTTACACAGTGAACCACCAGAGCTCTTTTAGGTAGGGTAATCACTACAAAAATGTAATTAAGAGAATACGTATGTAACTATGAAATTACAATTTAAGAAATATGTAATGTCTTTCCTTCTTATCAAAGGAAGAAGAAATGTTTTGGACATACAATGCATCAACTCACAGTAAATGGGTCAAAGCAGATGTGTTAATACCAGAAAATATGAAGACATTTAAGGTACAAAAGAGAAAACAAGTAATTTTTAAATCATAAGTTTAATTTTCCATTTTGTAATAGTGAATTTATCACCCATTTCTAAACATTTAAGTTGGGGATATTGAGTTGTATATTTGGGGAGAGCAATTACCTATTTCTTTACCCTGTACCTGGCTCTTCTCAGTCAAATTTCCCCTTAGTAGAGTATCCAGCATGTGACTATTCTTCTTTAAAGCCTCCTCCTTCTCCCCAGAATCCTTTACTAGCATTTTCCAGCACCACGCATTGCAGAGGGGAGCAAAGTACATTATGAAGCAGAAAAATAGTTAACTGTTATTGAAAATAATAAGCCCAGGGCTCAGAGGTTGCTTTTCACTTGGGTGTGGCTATATATTAAGGCCAGGGCCGGAGGTAGGGGGGTCTGGTGCTTGGAGGCTGCTTTTTGCTTGAGTGTGGCTCTACGTTAAGGTTAGAGCCCAAGGTAGGTGGGCCTGGGGTTGGGGGCTTCTTATTGCTTGGGGCAGCTCTTTCTTAAGGCCAGGGCCTGACATAGTCAGGCCTGGGGCTTGGAGACTGCTTCTCACTTGGGGCTCGCTCTTTATTAAGGCCAGTGCCTGATGTAGGTGGACTTGGGCTCAGGGGCTGCTATTTACTTGTGGGCAGCTCTATTTTAAGGCCATTGCCCAAGGTGGGCAGGTGCCAAGGGGTTAGGAACAAATAAGGGAGATGAACTTGTCTGTAAGTTTGTTGTCTTGTGGTAGCTTAGGTGTTGCTATAAGGCTGGAGGCTATGCCACCTTGTTGCAAAATGACAGCAGGGTTACCCATGGTGGACAGGTTTCAGTGGAACTTCTGGACTAAGACAGACTTAGAAGAAGAAAGACGTGGTCATCCACTTCTCAAAGAATTGGCCAGTGAAAACCTTATGAATAGCAGTGAAACACTGTCTGATATATTACTGAAAAAGTTTATGAACAGCCTAAAAACATTGTCTGATACAGTGCCAGAATATAAGGCCATCAGGTCAGAAGGCACTTAAAATTTGACTGGGGAAGAGGTGACTCTGAGTACAGACAACCTTAATGATATGGATAGAGTAAAGCTTTCGGGACATCCATTGGCTGATATGGAATAACTCAAAATGAATAGAAACAGATGCAAACATCCATTAATAATTGGAACATGGAATGTATGAAGTATGAATCTCGGAAAACTGGAAGTTGTCAAAAATGAAATGGAATGCATAAAGATCAATATCCTAGGCACTAATGAGCTGAAATGGATTGGTTTGGGCCATTTTTAATCAGACAACCAAATGATCTACTATGCTGGGAATGACAAATTGAAGAGAAATGGTGTGGCATTCATCATCAAAAAGACTGTTTTAAGATCTGTCCTGAAGTACAATGCTGTCAGTGATAGGATAATATCCATACGTTTACAAGGAACACCAGTTAATGCTCCTGCTATTCAAATGTGTGCACCAATCTTCAAAGCCAAAGATAAGGAAACTGAAAATTTCTACCAACTTCTGCAGTCTGAAATTGACCAAACATGCAATCAAGATGTATTGATTATCATTGGTGACTGGAATGCAAAAGTTGGAAATGACGAAGAGTTACTGGTAGTTGGAAAATATGGCCTTGGTGATAGAAATAATGCTGGAGATCACATGATAGAATTTTAAAAGACCAATGACTTATTCATTGCAAATACCTTTTTCAACAACGTAAGTGACAACTGTACATGTGGACTTCACCAGATGTAAAACACAGGAATCAGATTGACTACATCTGTGGCAAGGGGCAATGCAGAAGTTCAATACCTTCAGGCAAAACACGGCCAGGAGCTGATTGTGGAACAGACCATCAACTGGTCTTATGTAAGTTCAACTTGAAGTTGAAGACAGTTAAAACAAGTCCACAAGAGCCGAAATATTACCTTGATAACATCCCTTCTGAATTCAGAAACCATTTAAAAACAGATTTGATGCACTGAAAACCGGTAACCCAAAACAAGAGGAATTGTGGGATGACATCAAGAACATCATCTATGAAGGAAGCAAGAGGTTATTAAAAAGATGAGAAAAGAAGACCAAAATGAATGTCAGAAGAGACTCTGAAACTTGCCCTTGAATGGAGAGTAGCTAAAGAAAATGGAAGAAATTACAAAATAAAAGAGCTGAACAGATTTCAAAGAGCAGTTCTAGCAGCCAAAGCCAATTATTGTAATGAAATGTGCAAAGACCTGGAGTTAGAAAACCAAAAACACACTTGGCATTTCTCAAGCTGAAAGAACTGAGGAAAAAAATTAAGCCTTGAGTTGCAATATTGAAAGATTCTATGGGCACAATATTGAATGATTCAGGAAGCATCAAAAGAAGATGGAAGGAATACATAGAGTCACTGCACCAAAAAGAAAGGGTCAGTGTTCATCCATTTCAAGAGGTGGCATATGATCAAAAACCAATGGTATTGAAGGAAGAAGCCAAAGGTCCACTGAAGGAATTGGTGAAGAGCAAGGCTTCACAAATTGACGGAGTACTCATTGAGATGTTTCAACAAATGGATGCCCTGCTGGAGACATTCACTCAGCTATGCCAAGAAATTTGGAAGACAGCTACCTGGCCAACTGACTGGAAGAGTTCCATATTTATACCCATTCCAAAGAAAGGTGATCCCACAGAATGTGGAAATTATAGAACAATATCATTAATATCACATGCAAATAAAATCTTACTGAGGATAA